CCCACTAGGAGCTCAGCTGCCTCGAGGATGACATTTTTCTAGGGGCAAAAGGGAATCTTGGCTTAACATCATCCTGGCCCCCCAGGATCCTGTATGTCTACTTTAACATGTAAAAATTCCTTCGGAAATTTCCTTTATCTCAACTGCCCCAAGATTCATGCTGGCAATCACACTCCAAGCTTATGGGCCCCCTGATATACATCTCAAGGGTCTCATGACTGAGGTTTTACTGAACGATAATGAGCGGCATTTTCCTCTCAAAGTCCGGGAAACCTTGCTTCCAAAAATTCCTTAAGAGACTTACTCTATCCCCTACCTGCTCCCATCCTGAGAGTATATAATCAGTTACTCATCACGACCCAGTGCAGCTCTTCCTGCCCACAGGTCCCGTCCCTGTACTTTAATAAAATCACCTTTTTGCACCAAACATGTCTGTAAGAATTCCTTCTTGGCTGCCTGCTCCGGACCATCCCACCATCACCCCCAAACTTCATGACTTTCTCTCTAGATCTTCTCTTCCTTGAGCCTCTTGTGGTGCTGCTCTAGGGTACCACATACCATGTCCTGGCCATGCCGGGGAGTTTCTGGGCCTTTGCTGTGGCCACTGCCTCTACCCAGATGCCTTTATTCCCACCTTTCCAGTTCTTTCATAAAACCTTGCAGAACTCTCCCTCTCAGGCTCAGTGGGATGGTTACTCCATCCTTCATGTTCCCATAACAGTTTCCTTTTCTGCAAGTCTGGCACTGAAATGCACAATATTAAGATTAGTTGTGTCTGTCCTTAACCGAGCAGTAAGCATATCAAAGACAGAGCCATGACTCATGGACTTGGGTAGCTTTTGCAGTACCTAGAACAGCACTGCAAGCTGTCATGTTTCATTGAATCCTTAAGACTTTATAAAGATCGAGGTTATTAAATAATCTCCAGTGCCCATGTCCTCTGCTCCCAGAGTCGGTGGGATACACTGAGGCCTCGGAGGCTGTGTCGGTTACAGCACCAAACATCTGGACCAGTTTGGCCTCTCTCAGATGCTTCCAAACTCCTGGTTGTTTGACAGCATCTAAACACAGACACCAAGTGAATGGCTGATTCCTTTTCTCATATTTATAGAATCACAAGATTTTACAGCCAGAAGGAACCTTAGGGAGCTGAACTCCTCATATCACAGAAGAGAGAATTGTAAGTCTGAACTGTTAAGGGACTTCTCCAAAGCCACATGGTTGGTTAGTGACCCAGGCGTATGGATCCAGCTGATAATCTCTCTACGTGGTCCTGTCTACTGAGCCTTCCTGGCCGTGGCCTTGGGTTTCACTTAAGACATCACCAGTCAGCTCCTGCTTTCTGCCTTGTGTTGGGGCGGCCGGCTTTCTCTATGTAATCACCATCGTCAGACAACAATCCCGTTACCCACTCTTTGCTAATGGCTGATATCATGGGGGTAGAATTAAAAACAGAAGTGGGCTCAAGTTTAAATCGGGGCCCCTGGGAGCCAGGCTAACCATTCATTAGCCATCGCCTCGCGGAGGACACAGCAGCTGCTGAACTCGGTCAAGTTCAGCCCCTTAAAAAGAGTGGAAAAAAGAAAGCACATACTTTCCAGTGCCTGGGCACCACGGAGCTGGGCCAGCACTGTGGCAAAAAGATCTCTTCAGTTTCAGAAATATGAGATCCTGAGCTTGCACACAGGGAGGGGCCGGGAACGGGCCTGTGGCTAGAGCTGACTGGTATTAACCCTCCCATCAGACCCCGCCCCTATGGGAAGAGCCCAGGAGGATCTAAAGAAAGAGCCAGCCCTCCAAGTTGACATAAGGAACAAGCTGTGTGAGTGAGTGTGCGTGTGTGTGTGTGTGTGTGTGTGTGTGCATGCGCGCACGTGTTTAAAGGCCTGTGCCTGAGGTCGATAGGCTTTTTCAGAGGGACTCTTGGCTTTCTGTGTAAACGTGTACTTCCTCTTGTCCAGAGTTAGCCTGTTAGGGGAATAAAGCGCAATTCAGGTTTCCAAGTTGGAAGCCTGATTAATCTCTCTGCCAGTTACATATGGAAATAAATTAGTAAATGGTCCATCTGGGACTAAACTACTGCAGAGATGATAAATTATCGCCATCGTATATGTCAGTGTTGCTGAAGACTGAGTTGTGCTCACCAGGAGCGGCTGAAAGATACCTGGATGCTCTATCGTGGTCAAGAAAATAAAATTTAAAAAATTTACCTTGAAAGATTTCTTGGGAGAATGGTTTGGTTGATGCCAAGTTTGTTCCTTAGGACTGCTATCTCTGCAGATATTTAAAAGGTGAGTCTCAAGGGCATAAGAAATATTTTATTTTTATATTTTCAAAGGCCAGTATGATAAGTATTAATTAGTACCCCAGCGCCTCCATGAGCAGGATAATTCTGTACCTTATAGTAGCCTTGTGCTTTGTACTTGTCATAGCAATTTCCCGTCTGTTTTTTTTTTTTTTTTCCTTACATTTCAATGAAGGTGGGGCAAGTTCGTCCCTCTAATTCTGGATCAGCAAAGAACTGAGGTTTCAGGGACCAGGCCCCTTATGCACAGGGACTCAGATGGCCAAACGGCAAACCTGGAAAAGCACCCACATATCGCCGATTCGGAACCCTGCTTCATTTCTATCAGTCCTGCGTGACGTCAAAGCCTTTCCGTATCGCCCCCATGCACCGAGCAGCGCCAGGCAATAACGCATTCTATTTATGTCGGTTTTCTAGAGGCAAAAGCTGTACCTTCTTGATCGTGAGAAGTCTTTTGTTTTTTCCTCTAAGTGGAGATGTTGAAGGTTGGTTTAACGTTTGTGTTTTTTCTTAGCTGTTTTAATTTGGTTAAGTGGAAGTTATCATTGACATACTAGTTTCAGATGTGCAACATAGTGATTTGATATTTGTGTACATTGTAAAATGATCACCACAAGATAAGTCTGGTTAGTACCCTTCACCTTGCATAGTTACAAAACTTGTTTTCTTCTGATGAGAACCTTTAAGATCTAGTCTTTTAGCAGTTTTCAAATATGCAATATAGTATTTTTAACTATAGTCACGGTGCCGTGCATTACTTACACAGGTGACTTTTTATAACTAGATTTTATAACTAGAAGTCTGTACCTTTTGACCCCTTTATTCATTTCTTCCCTCTCCCCACCCCTTGGCTTAATTTTTTCCCCTACGGTTAAAGGCACACCACTATCCCCATGAATTATTTTATAAAACTAAAACCACAGATGTCTTTAGGGGCTTTTTAGGTATGGTAACATTTTGCCCCTTTGCAGAATGGCCTGCGGCTACTGTGACCTCTAGATTCTTATGCCTACTTTAAAATTTTCTTTTGTATCTTCCTCCTGGGCAGAACTCTTCAACGGTTCATCCTTAAAGCAGCTGAGGTGTGCACCCTTTTAAAAAGTGCAGTAATAAAAAAAAAAAGTACAGAAAAGCAAACAAGCTTTAGAAATCTCAAAGTCACCTGGCTTATCAGACATCAATTTCTAACCATAAGCAGCAGGTGCCATGCGGTGGTCTTCACACAAGAAAGAGAAGTCACAAGCCCCTAGCACTTCCCTGTCTGTACTTGGCAGTAACCTTGTCTCTCACCCAGACCCCCTTCAAGTTTCTCCTCCAGAGCTGGTGGCTCCAAGCACCTGAATGGCCCCTCCTCACATTTTCTGGCCTCCGGGCCTTTGCTTCAGCTTTTACTTATCCCTGCCTGTCAAAATCCTGTCCAGATCTCAAGGCCGGTTATTATTGTGATTATCTAGATGCTTTCCCTTACCTGCTCTCTCCACCCCAACCTGAAACAAGTGTCTCCTCAGAAACCTTGTAACTGATTATTAGGGGAAATAACACTGTATTTGGGTTGCCTGCATCGCCGTCTTGCCTCCCATGGTGGACAATGTATTTCTGAAAGGCACGGATTTCATCATGCTCGCTCTCTGACTCTTCCACCCTCCCCGATCCTTGGGTCAATGCTTTGCCTTTAATTAAAACTTAACTCGCAGTATACTAGGGTAATTTGATTTGATAGCAACAGAATGGGTGTCTTTGAATGGGTGGATAAATTAATAATCAAAGCTTTGTCAGGATTATTTGGAGGGCTAGGTAAAACAGATTGCTGGGTCCCCACCTCCAAATATTCAGATTCAGTGCATCTTGTTGGGGGGGGGGCAGGAATTTGTATTTGGAACAAACACTCAGGTGATGATGTTATGTGGCTGTTCCAGGGACCGCGGTTTGAGAATCACTGATCTAATGAATTGATTGCCTCACGTTCTCTCTACTGAAGTGCACAGGATAACTTTGTTCTTTCACGAGAGAGTCTATTCATTTGTCTTCTTTGAGGCGTAGGCTAAAAAAATATCTCCCATCAAAAATTATTACACAATGTATCTCATGCACCAACTTTCCTATTTTTGCAAGATTATTGGTTAAATGTGGGCCAATAGTTTGCAGCCCATTTAGTGAGTTTGAGCTTGATGGGGTCTTTGCCTCCAGGAGTAGAGCCAGAGTAATTTTATTTTATAACAACAGAAAAGAGCGTCATTGGCTTTGCAGCCTGTGTTTGGTCTGCCCAGTGGATCGAGGTGGGTCCACATGCTTGAACGCTGGCTGTGAGTGTTTGCTGTTTTTTTTTTAAATATAGACAAGTGTTCATAGTATATAGACAGCTATAGTGAAGTAAAATGATCTCACAAAGGTCACCATGACCGTTGTAGTAAAGTGAGATAATCTCATGGTATCTATGGCACCGCATTTTCAAATTTCTGTGTCCCTTTGTGCCCCATGAGGCAGTTGCAAGAATATTCTATCATGAAAGTTCCAGTGGTTCAATAACTTTCCAGGAAATAAGAGGCAACTGTTGCAATTGGTCTCCCCCCCCCCCCCCCTCCAAGGGTTGCATCTTTTAGAATCTGGCCAGAGATGACTGACAGCCATTGTGTTTGAGAGGGTCCTCTCTCCTCCTCCCGTCTAATCCCGCCTTTCTTCTGCTCCTTTCTACCAGTCACTAGAAGCATCATCTCCTAGAAGACCAGCATTCTCATGATTATGGAGGCCTCTCTGTCCTTTCTGTGACTGGAGCGATGCTGACCTCGGTTTCTTGGACCCATTCTGACTCAGGTAACCAGGCTCTGCCTCCCCCACCCCTCCCGTCCCTGTCCCGTCCCCCACCCCCCCACCCCCTGCCCCAACCTGCTCCTCAGGGAGATTGCACTGAATGCATGAAATACCAAAGCCATATTTAAATGCAAATGCCAAATTGATTGTTTCTTCATCAATTGGTATCCTCCCCCTCTTCCTCCCAATCTTCTTAATGATTAATTTATGCAGCTGATCAGACTGACAATGTGGTCAATCCAATTTAGGCATTAAGATAATGAAAACATTCAATCACGTCTCTATTTAAAATGTTGGTGTGTCACAGACACATGAAGTAACAGGAACAGTGCTGGGAATGTTCATATAGAAACTGGCTTCTGCCGTAGTTCCTGTAAATCAGTTTCTTTCCCATAACACCGTGTTTGACTTGAATTAAATTAATCTTTCTAATGTTGTATCTTGCGATTGACTTCAGTATCACGGAGTACCCGTTATGAGTTCGTGGCGCAGATGGTAATAAAAAAAAAAAATACAGGGCATGGAGCTAGGCTTCTAGAGTCATGGCTTAGCAAAAGATCCATGACTCACTCGAAGGAAAATGGCAAATGGTGGTGTTCAGCTTAGGGCCGGGGCTGTGTACTCATTAATGGTAGCTCTTTGGTTCAGGGAATTGAGAGACTTTGAGGACTGGGGTTGAAATAATTAGGGAAGAATTCATGGAAGAGGGAGGGCCTCCAGGGGGCTTTTTTGCTTTGGATCTTTTGGCCAGGCAGAGGGAAGAGGAACAACATGGCGCCTGGGTAGGAGGGTAGGAATGACCCCCATCTGTGCCTGGTCAGTGAGAGCCCCGATTGCATGGGCCAGATAGGTTTCAGAGGACCCTGATCTGCTGTCCCAGCCGGAGCCGGCCTCCCCCTCCGAGCCTAAGGTTTCCCCGGGAAACACCACCTGCCCTGTTATGGAAGGTCTTGGCTGGCAGCTTCCTTCAGGGACGGTGGTCACTGTTGCCTCACCCCTGGCTTGGCTGCTACCTTGCTGGCCTTTTTTGCTTCTTTGGGCCTGTCTGGATTTGGCCTCTTCCTGTCTATCTGATGCTTTACTCTTCTTTTACCCACCTGTTCCCCTCCCCTCCAGGCTGAAACTGGGGCCACAGTCAGGGCTGGGGAGCCAAGTGCCCTTATTCATTCTGGGGTAGCTCAGCAGATCCTGCCCGCACCTCGCTCCTTCCCCGTGCCGCTTTTGGATAAAACAGTGATGGCCCTCACTGCGCCGGGTCCTAAAGGTGCTACTGAGAGTTGCCTGCTGAGACTCCTGCCCATTCTGTCAGCCCTGTCCCGGCCGCCCCCCCCTCCCCCCGTCCACCGCCTCAGCGTGCCCCGGGGCTCCCTGAGCTGAGGGCCTTGCTGACCCTGGAGCTCAGGCCTTCCCGGCATCAGAGCCCTGGGCCGCCGGCCACCATGAAGTAGAAGAGCTAGAGTAACATTCTGTGTTGCCCTCTCACCACAGTGATTGTGGGCCTTTGTCTTCTAAGCCTAGTCCAGGGCTCAGTCACGCGGCCCGTCAGGCTCCTGGGCCAGGTGTGGTCCACTGCTTGTTCGTGTGCGCTGCCCACGTGGAGAATGGTTTCTCCAGGACTTTTTACATTATTATTTTTTAATGTTTATTTATTTTTGAGAGAGAGCCAGAGCATGAGTGGGGGAGGGGTAGAGAGAGAGGGAGACACAGCATCCAAAGTAGGCTCCAGACTCTGAGCTGTCAGCACAGAGCCTGGTGTGGGGCTCAAACCCATGGACTGCGAGATCATGACCTGAGCTAAAATTGGATGCTTAATGGACTGAACCACCCAGGCGCCCCAGTTTCTACATTTTTATTATTATTTTTTAATTTTTTTAAAAAATATTTTTATTTATTTCTAGGAGAGAGAGAGAGACAGCGTGAGCAGGGGATGGTCAGAGAGAGAGGGAGATACAGACTCTGAAATAGGCTCCAGGCTCTCAGCTGGCAGTCAGCACAGAGCCCGACGCGGGGCTCGAACCCACGAACCGTGAGATCATGACCTAAGTGAAAGTCGGATGCTTTCCGACTTTCCGACTAAGCCACCCAGGCACCCCTGTTTCTACATTTTTAAATGGTTGGAAAAAATTCAAAGAAGAATAATATTTTGCACCACCTGAAAATTAAATGGAATTCAGATTTCAGTGTCCCCAAATAAAGCTGTACTGGGATGTAGTCATGTTCATTTTTTGATTATCTGTGGCAGCTTTTGCATAATGGCAGAGTCAAATAGGTGCCTCAGAAATCATGAAATGTTGACTTTCTGACCCTTTGCAGAAAAAAATTGTCATCCTAGCAAATCACCTAGACCCTTGTGTGACATAGGTACTTGAAAATTTTGAGGTGTGCAATATTTTGCACCATGAAGAAAATAAGGTTGACGGGTGAGTAAGATTTGCATAGGAGGGGCAAATTGATCATATTCTAGATGGTGATTTTTCTATTCTTCCATTTAACTTGCAAGTAAATCTAGACATGACCTTGAGGCCACTTCATTTCAGAAACTTATATATTAGGGTTGTCTTTAAAATAAGGCTCCTTGGGGTAAACTAAGTGTTAGAACAAATCAGCAACACATAAAAACGTACCCTGCATTTTGGAACTTTCTTTTACTTGGCACTTGGCATGAACCATCTTATTTTAAACCAAATAAATATTTAGTTTTAAATCAAGTAAGCATTGAAGACCTAGCATGAGTAAGCCTCAAGGATTTAATCTTGGCAATATTTTCCCACTCTGGTGGGATTTTCTGATATTGTTGAGTGGAAACTACTCCAGTTATCAAAGTTGGAAGTGTGGGTTCTTACTTCTCTTAAGTAGCTGAGCCAGGGCTTCTTACCCTTGGAAGAGTAGAAAGTATTCCCCAGATCTCAGGGTCAGTGCAAGAGACGTTCATTTCTCCCTCACTGGATTGCACCTGTGTGGCCGTCCTATGTCCAGTTTTGAGGATCTAAGCCTTCTCCCTCTGGTGACACCTATGTTTCCTGGTTGCTGCGACATGTGAAAAAAAGAAAAACACACACCCTCTCTTAAGTGCCTTAGACCAGAAGAGACTGAGACCAGTTTCACATCCACAGTCAGTTGGCCAGAATTAGTAACATGACCCTCTCTTGTGGATAGGAGCTTGGGAAGTAAGTACAGAGATGCAAAAGATCTGCCCTTGCCACACTGCATCACTGTGAGGAATCCCATACTTTTTCTATGCTTTTCTTTCTATGCTCATCATTAGAAGGTAATTCACCCATGTCTACATTTTTTCACATAGTTTATGAGAGGTTCAGATATGATGTACGAAAGAGCCTTATGGTAGCTTGAGTTGGAAAACAGGTAAGATACAATTGTTACCTGATTTCTTTATAAGATACTGAGTGGTGATGGAGTGGAGTCAAGGTAATCACGTTCTGTAGGCCTGGGACTGCCCAAGAATTTGCCAGTTGACCTAATGCAGTTATACAGTCTTCCCTGTCACCCCCAGGAATATCCTAGCATAGACAGCCAATTTTATGACCACCCCAGCTTGACCCCACTGGTCGTCTTTCAAGATCAACATTAGCTACTGTTTAGGTGCCTTTTCTGAGTCATACCGTTCTAAGCTTTTTGCCTGTACTGCTTCATTTAATCCTCGTAACAGACTTTTGAGGTGGGTACACGTAATCTTGTTCGAGCTAAGGTAGTAGAGGTAGAAAGGTTTGAATGGGAACCAGGTCCGAAGGGCTCTTAAGCGCTCCACGGGACTGCCTCGCTCATCCTTCTCGAGGACTTGACCGTGTGGGCCCCACTCCCCTGATGCTGGCTGGGGAATCGCTCCGAGACCACACACCAGAAGAGAGCTAAGGCTAGCCCTTCTTGGCTTCGATGAGAAGGTGAGACATGGAATCACAACGTGATTCTCCAGAGCCAGAAAGTAGCAGGACCAGGGTGTCCCTTTCCACCCACTCTCCTGGGCATCGACAAGAGCAGCTTGGGTTAACACTGGGCACACATTTGACACGGGGAGAGAGGTTTTATTTTGAAACCTAGGGTGGAGCAGAATTCTAACCAGTGAAGGCTTGCCGTGCGCCATGTAGTTGATTCAGACAGGCTCCTTACCAACACAAACAGCCAGGAGGAACTGAGCTCTGTTTTCAGGGAGTTTATTTACAAATGTGTGTATTAAAAAAAAAAAAAAAAGCCAAACCACAACCAAAGACCAGTCTGCTTGCAGAATAATATCAAACAAAAACCCATTTATTCACGAGATGGTATTAATTTCCCTGGTTTCTAGCCTTTCTAATCAGCGTTCAAAACCAAACCCATGGAGTCAAAGGGAAGAATCTCTGGAAAGTGAACCCACTGTGGCCAAATCATCTCTTGCATCGCTTGCTTCAAGACCTGCCCCGCCCCCCCCGAAAATGATACATGTGGTTTCTAAATGTACAAAGCAAACCAAAGGAATTCCATCGTGAAAGAAAAATTAGATGGAAATTTCTAATCCTGTCTCATAAACAATATAGGAATAACTTTAAAATATTCTGCTTTAAGCATGCATTTAATTTGTGCTCTGGGAACCAAATAATGTTGCTAAGATAAAACATTCTAATAATGATTTATGTAAATTTATTTGTACAAAGTAATGGTGTAGTTGCCTATAGCAAATTGCTTGGAATATGCAATGACATTTATGAGATCTTTTTTTCCCTCTGAATTAATACAATGGAGAAAATGAGAGACTCCAGAAAGGAAAAAAGAAATTTATGTTCAAAATGGAGTCTGATGCCTTGGGAGGCAGAGACAGCTGGACAGGTTACACGGTGTGGAAATTGTCAACAACCACAGTTCAACATGTTTTCCATGATGCTCCTATTATGGAAGCCAAGATTTAAAGTCATACAAAGAGTGTGTGTGTTAGGCTCTTTGAAGGCGAGAACCCTTTATTTTAGTGACCATGAGCCCTGCAGACACCAGAATTCTTTCAGAACAGCCAGCGA